AGGATTTTCAGTCAGGATTTAGAGTTCATCATAGCACAGAGACAGCACTGGTGAAAATTACGACCTCCTTATTACATCAGACAAAGGACTTGTCTCTGTACTGGTTTTATTAGATCTTAGTGCTGCATTTGATACCACTGACCATCTGGTCCTATTGCAGAGACTGGAACATTTAATTGGAATTAAAGGAACCGCTCTAAACTGGTTTAAGTCCTATTTATCAGATCAATTTCATTGTTAACATGTTCAAACATGTTAACAATGAATCCTCCATGCATGCTAAAGTTAGTCATGGAGTTCCTCAAGGATCTGTCCTCGGACCAATCCTCTTTACTTTATATATGCTTCCTTTAGGTAATATTATAAGGAAAAACTCCATAAACTTTCATTGTTATGCAGATGATACTCAGTTATATCTATCAATCAAGCCAGATGAAACTCATCAGTTAGCTAAACTTCAAATGTGCCTTCAGGATGTTAAAAGCTGTATGACCTGTAATTTTCTAATGTTAAACTCAGATAAAACTGAAGTTATTGTTCTGGGGCCCACGCACCACCGTGACACATTATCTAAAGATATAGATTCCCTAGATGGCATCGCCTTGGCCTCCATCACCACTGTGAGGAATCTTGGAGTTATCTTTGATCAGGACATGTCGTTTAAGTCTCTCATTAAGCTAATTTCAAGGACCGCCTTTTTTCAACTACGTAATAATGCGAAAATCAGGAACATCCTGTCTAAAAATGATGCAGAAAAACTAGTCCATGCATTTGTTACTTCTAGGCTGGATTACTGCAATTCCTTAATATCAGGCTGCTTAAAAAAGTCCATTAAGACTCTTCAGCTGATCCAGAATGCTGCAGCACGTGTTCTGACAGGAACCAGGAAAAGAGATCACATTTCTCCTGTCTTAGCTTCTCTGCATTGCTTCCAGTAAAATCCAGAATAGAATTTAAAATCATTCTTCTTACCTACAAAGCTCTTAATGGTCAGGCACCATCTTATCTTAAAGAGCTCATAGTACCTTACTACCCCACCAGAGCACTGCGCTCCTAGAATGCAGGGTTACTTGTGGTTCCTAGAGTCTCCAAAAGTAGACTAGGAGCCAGAGCGTTCAGCTATCAAGCTCCTCTCCTGTGGAACCAGGTTCCAGTTTGGGTTCAGGAGGCAGACACCATCTCCACATTTAAGAGTAGGCTTAAGACTTTCCTCTTTGATAAAGCTTATAGTTAGGGCTGGCTCAGGTGACTCTTGAACCATCCCTTAGTTATGCTGCTACAGGCCTAGACTGCTGGGGGATTTCCCATGATGCACTGAGCTCCTCTCTCCTCTACTTTCTCTCCCTCTGTATGCAACCTCATCCCATTATTGCATGTTACTAACTCGACTTCTCCCCTTACCCGTAGTCTTGTGCTTTCTCGTCCCTCTCCTCTCTCCTCCTATCACTTCCTGCAGGTGTTTCTGGCTCTGGAGCTGGATCTGTGGTTGTGAGTTGCCTGCTGCCCCCGTGTTCCTGCTCGACACCCTCTGTTCCAATTATTGCTACTAGTCCTATTGTTATTGTAATTATCAACATTACGATTATTATCATTAACACTACTGTAAACATCTGTGCCATTTTTTATTCAGGCTATAGCAACATCACCTTTACTGTCTGTACCTCTGTGTGTATATTGTGTAGGCTGCCACTCACTCACTCACTCACACACACACACACACACACACACACACACACACACACACACACACACACACACACACACCCGATCGGAGAGCTCAGAGATAACTGTTGTTGTGATTTGGCGCTATATAAATAAAATTTAGATATCCTGCAGAGATCATCGTTCATTAAACTATTAAAAAAGAAAATTAGAAAATTATTGTTGTTACACATTCAGGCCAATGAAGCTAATTTGAATTGAATTGAATTGAGAACAGGATGTGGAATTACACAGATTAGCCAGCTGTGAGCGAGGAGTGTCTGTTCCACCCTAGCTGACTAATATACATAGTGAGAGGAAAGTCAGGGAACCACCGCTGAGTCAATGACCTGAACAGACTGATGCAGGGTGACTCGCTGTCACAGGATAGGAGGGTTCCCCCTCTCTCTCTGACTCACAAATTCACAAATGTAGAGGAAAATATTGAAGCACACATATAAACACACACACTGCATACGTCACTGAATCACTGACTGAGGTTGTGGAGGAGGCAGGTTCACATAGAGATGTCAGGAACAGGAAGTATGACAAACATTGTTAATGTGGGTGCTGCAGAAACCTGCTGTTTACAGAGCATTGGACTGAGCTCTGGGAACACTCGCCTCATTTCCTATACCTACAGCTCTGTTCAGAGCAAAGCCGCCAAAGAAAAAGCTTTCTAGCTTTGTAGTCACGGAAATGAACAGAGCAGCAAACCAAACACTAGTGTGTGTGCGAGAAAAGCTTCTCAAATTTAAATCTTGGTTCATCATCACACTTTGCAGCCACTGTGGCAATTTATCATTTCTTTGTTGTTATAACTTGGAGCAAAAAAATTCAACATCAGTTTGTTCATTCATGCATCGTTCATCATTTTGGTAAAAGCAGCGGTGTACGTACCACTGGCTGCACAGGGCCCAGCTGATTACAAAGACCAATGAGGGATAGCGACAATTGCCGCGTGATTGTTGGTGGGCCCTCTCGTGGTTTCACTAACTGTGTCCAGCAGTGATGACTACACTAATACTACCACCTTGCGGATAACACTTACAGTTTAGAGTCATAGTATATCTTTTTAATTTGTCCATATTGAAATGTTTTCAAACCAAAACTGCATGTATTATAAAAATATATATTATTTCTACCAACCACTTATTTAAAGGTCCAGTGTGTAACATTTAGAAGGATCTATTGACAGAAATGTAATATATTATACATAACTATGTTTTCAGTGGTGTATAAAGACCTTACATAATGAACCGTTATGTTTTTATTACCTTAGAATGAGACATTTATATCTACATAACTGCGGGTCCACCTTACATGGACGTTGCCATGTTGCGCCACCATGTTTCTACAGTAGCCCAAAACAGACAAACAGCGCTACAAAGCGCATTTCGTGACTATACTGAATACGTACAAGAAGAAGAAAAAGAACAACAACAAGTAACGTTAGTACTAGTAGTAGTCAACTGGTTTTTAGAAGTAAGAATAGACGCAGAATTTAGACAAATAGAGGCCCGCACGTATCATTATGCACAAGACAGGACAGAGCGTGTCGGCCACTGTAGCGTCTCCTGCTCGCTTGGAAAGAGTGGGGTGAGCTGTGACTGATGGTGTATTCATGTGGTGTCGGAATAATTAGAATCAATTTTTTCTCCTTAAATCTTTATTGCAAAAAGAGAAATTAAATGATGATGCAATACATGAATAAATTATGTATTGCATATCATTTTTTTGCAAACATGTAATTTGTAATATAGTTATAACGGTTAGTTTACTGTCTATGTAGGGTGAACTAGATGTCTGTGTGTGGTTTATATGCTCTGATAATCCAACACACCTTTGTAGAAGCATCCGTGTTGATTCCACATTCCGACTTAAGAGCACATGAACACACACTGAAGTAGGAAGAACGACTTATCAACTTGGGAAATGGGACCATCTGAGGAGCATGTGAATGCACTGTGAACCGCTGGTTGCTTTCTTCTCAAAAGAAAGAAGAAAGAAGTCTTGCTGGGAAGTACTAATTTGCCAATCCAATGTCAACCTTTAGCAAAAAGCAAGTGTTCCTCTGCAGATGGACGTTGATAAGTTAACACCATTGTGAGAATTGTGACACCCCTATTATTGATACATCAGTAATAGGGGTGTCTGACTAACACAATGCAAACAAAAGGCTTGTTATAAATGGAAACAATTACAGTGCTGACTGACAGAAAACCAAAGTGCATCCAACTTCATGAATAAAACATGCACTCATTGTCCTCTGAATCATTTTTCATGTCCTCCCTCACAAAAGCTCCACTGCCAAGCACCTGAAGTACATATTTGAAAATCAGTGTTGAGATATGGTTTATTATATCAAACTGTAATACAAAAACCACCAGTTTTTGTATCACCAGGACACCAGTGATAGGCTGAACAATTCCATACATATTCAACACCAATAGGAAGATTCAAAATGTCATTAAATGAGGTCTAATATATCTGCTGTCTTACATGAGAGTTAGAACAAACTTTACTTTCATACTTTCAGCCAACTCAAAATAACCTTGCAACTGTGATTACAAGACAGGTTTTTGGGCTTGTGTCCAGGCCTGCAGAGTGAATGTGTGTCTGCCAGAGATCAATAACATCAGGGTCAGTGCAGAACTAGTACATGTCTGGAAAGCCATCTCTCTGAGTGCAACACAGATGTCATATGCATAGGAGGGGGAAGGAAGGAGGTATGAAAGATGGAGGTGGAGAGAGAGGAGAGAAGGGAAGCTCTGGACTTGATGATAATGACTCATTAGGGTAAGGTAATAACAAACACACGGGGCTGGCACAGCTTCTCACACACATATGCACAATGAACACAGCAGGGCAGCACAGTGCGCTATGAGATGCACACATTACAAACAATAGCACACAGCAGGACGCAGCTCTCAGTTTTCTCTTCCGCTACTGACTGATATGTGGAAATTTGATTAGGACAGATGCAAGGACACGGAGGAAATGAGGGAGTTTTTTTAACATGTTTTTTTTATCTTGTCCTGGAAGCTGATAGCTGCTTCAGTACTATTATTCAGTAGTCTAGACTACTATTCAGTAGTCTAGACTACTATTCAGTAGTCTTTTCTCACTTATATGCCGACACTCATTAATCTAAACAGAAATGAGACATAAAGATGAAGATTCTGGCATTAATCCACCATGTCCCATGTACACAACAGTCATCCAAAGCCACAGCTGTGCCCCTCTGTTCAGAGTTTTGATCTCAAAATCAGTTAATGCAGTATGGTTCATTACGGTACCTGCCAGGCTGTAAGACAGGAAGTGCACATAAGGTGACCGCAGGGTTCGATCTTGACGTCTTTGTCGTTCTCAGCACAGATCTTACAAAGCTGGAAGGTGGAGCCCATTTCACAGTACAGCTCATACTGCTCCTGTTCGGACAGAGCAAACTCCTGTTAGTCATAAAGCAAAGCACGTACCAAGCTACGTGAAAACAGCCATGGAAATACACACACACAGTATACATAAGCAAGCACACAAGTGTCCCACCCAGATGTTTAATTTTGTGATGTCCCATCACTAATTCAGAGTTATTCATGACTTTTTGTCATGGTTAATGATGTTGTCAAAAGAGGTATTTTTCATCTCAGTTTGGGTAAAATCACTGTGGAAAAGAAATCAAATGACAAGGAATTTGTAAAATCCCCTAACAGTAATTTTCCTGTTTGTAATACACTTTTCACAATATAATCATCAGAAACTCCTCACCATACAACACCAGCCTATCATTTTCTTCTCATACATTATCATCTGATCAGGTTGCTTAAAATGTGCTTGAGACACACAGTAGTAGGCTGTCCAACAGAAGATGATTTCCCTTCACCACTCAGACATCAATATATGTAAACACTACGCCTTACTGGATGAACATACCACATCACACTCTCTCACTGGTCATTTTCAAACTGGAACAACGTGGTGGCACAAAAATTAGTCTCTAAAAAATGTTCTCTCAGTCAAAACACAATCGTCTGACACAGCAACATAACTGGATGACTGCTTCATTTTAGAAAACATTTCATGTATTTTATTTTTTTCCACATTTGGTCATGTGTCATGTTTAAGTGTGGCGTAAATGTCATAAGGACGTCATGAGTTTACATGAAGTATTCTGGCTTTGTGAGGCTAAGACATTCCATGACCAGTGGAAACTATGAACATTACTCTGCTAATCCAGATGATGAATGTTTTCAGACACACACACAAACCCACTTGTGTCACTTTGATGTGATCATGAGGTGTTGGCTCACATAAACCAGTGAGGTCAGGATTGTAACTGCGCCCATCAGGGAACAAGTAGCTGTGAATGAGAAAAAAAATAACATGGTATCAAGTATGGATTTCACTGACTACTAGTAGCAGAGCCATAAGCAATATGAGCCCTTGTAGTAGGTTTTTTCTTTAAATGCTTAACAGTGACTTTAATTAACCCTGATGTATGACTGACACAAAATATCAGTCATGAACAGATTTTTAGTCTAGAGAAGAGAATGCTGTGCACTAAATGGAGGAAAGAATGCTTGATTTGTCTGGGGCCCTGTCAGATGGCCTGGAAGATCCTATTGAGGCTGTCAAACAAAAAAAATGTTTCATCTATGAAGTAGCTTTCAGAAAAGAAATGACGTCGTCATGGGGCACCACTCTCTCATCTGCCAAGAAACATTTAAAGATACAGTATGCAAATCAGATGCGACTGACTGAGACAAAGTTAATAATTTCTCATGTGTATACAGCACACATACAGTGGAAAGCATAACTGATCAATACACAAACAGACAGTGAGCTAGGTTACTTACAAGCCCTCCCTGTAGCCATCGATGAGGGCCTGGAACAGCGGTTTGTTGTGGGGGATGGTCTGCAGTATGTTGCCATCATTGGTCACATAGCCGATGGCCCATTGGCCCAGCCGTGTACAACTCAGTCTGAAGATGTAACTGTCAGAGAGGGAAAGAGGACAGGAGTGCATGGTTCACACACACACACTGCAAATCAAAACCTGTATAACAAACTTGAAATGATGATGTAAAAGCAACTGTTTTTGAGCGTTATGTTCCCTGTGATATCATACAGAAATCACTGGGTGGACAATACATTATTACTTTTACTAATTAAAAGTTGTGTTTTTAAATAAATGTAAAAACTATAAAATCCATATCTAACTTTGACTAGTCATATAGCTTAATATTATTAATACAATTAATTCACATTATGATTATATGATCACATCTTGTTCATGTTTTAACTTTTTTTAATTACTTAAAAATGAGTACTTTTACAGGCACTACTAATATATTATTCAATATTGGAAAAGAAAGTGCGGGGACTGGACTGAGCATAAGCAGATCTGGAAACTATAACCAGCAACAGCATCTCCCGACACAACAAGAGGACAAGCCAGAGGAAACATAGGAGAAGGAAGAGAGGAAAGAGGGATATAGCAGTACATTTAAATTAAAAGTGCGCAATACACTACTTTAGAATTCATTATTCAATTTTGTATATATATATATATATATATATATATATATATATACACATACATACATACACACACACACACACTTATATATATATATATGATCAAGAGGGCGCAGCGGTGGATGGCAGCCTCTGGATTACGCTCTGTAGTGCTTTTTGTGTTTTTGTTTATTTATTTTATTTTACTTAACTTTTACCAGAGAAGAGCTCTTAAACATCAGACTTTCAACTGCTCACACTATTCTACCGCTCCTGATCTAAATGGAACTTTCCTGGTGTTATTAGTTAGAGGAGCGGCAGCTCTGTATGGGATCCTCCGGAGGCGACGAAGGGGAAAGCGTGCCGGCGCTTTAAACTGAGACCGCGGGGTTTTTGCACTGCGCTCCCTTCTACCCACCTGGCGAATGTCCCATCTCTGGCCAACAAAATGGATGCTGATGAATGAACTGCTGCTCCTCAACAGAACTAACTCGAACTTCTGCAGATCTGCCGCCCTCTGTTTTACCGAGTCCTGGCTCACTGAGCACATCCCAGACAGCGTACTTCACCTGCCGACTACATGACTGCATAACTGCATAAGGGGGCGGCTGTGGCTCAGGGGTAGAGCGGGTTGGTCGATTAACGAGCATTTACAGTCATAAGTCCTTTGAAAGGCTGGTGTTGGCCCACCTGAAGGACATTGCTGGACCCCCTGCAAGGGGCCTGCACAGTGCTAACATGTCAGTGGATGATGTAATCATCCACTGACATGTTAGCCATCAAACATCTCGACTCTCCAGGGACACATGAAAGGATCCTGTTCGTGGACTCCAGTTTGGCGTTCAACACCATCATGCCGGACATCCTTAGCACCAAACTCACCCAGCTCACTGTGCCAGCCTCCACCTGTGGATCACAGACTTCCTGACTGACAGGAGTCAGCAGGTAAGACTGGGGAACATCACATCCAACACCTGAACTATTAGCACTGTGCTCTCCCCACTGCTCTTCTCTCCCTCTACACCAACGACTGCACCTCAGGGGACCCATCTGTCAAACTCCTGAAGTCCGCAGACGACACAGCAGTCATCGGCCTCATCCGGGACGGTGATGAGTTGGCCTACAGACAGGAGGTTGATCAGCTGGCTCTCTGGTGCGGTCAGAACAACCTGCAGCTTAACACGCTCAAAACTGTGGAGATGACTGTGGATTTCAGGAGGAGCCCCCCCACTCTGCCCCCCATCACCATCCACTATTTCCCAGGACCAGAAGTGGGAGCCCAACACGGACACCATCCTGCGCCAGCTCAGGAAGCTCAACCTGCCTAAGGAGCTGCTGATCCAGTTCTACACAGCCATCATCCAGTCTGTTCTCTGCACCTCCATCACTGTCTGGTTTGGATCTGCCACCAAAAAGGAGCAGACTACAATGGACAGTCAGGACTGCAGAAAAAATAATCGGTGCCAACCTGCCCTCCATTCAGGACTTCCAGAGTCAGGAAACGGGCAGGAAACATCACTGCAGATCCATCTCACCCTGGACACAACCTGTTCCAGCTTCTCCCCTCTGGTAGGCGCTACAGAGCACTGTACGCCAAAACCAACAGACTCAGGAACAGTTTCTTCCCACAAGCTTCACTCTGATGAACAGCTGATTTCTGACTCACAGTGTCAGGAACAATTCCTGTGCAATAACCCAGTAACTCTGTCTCTAATCAGCCACTTGTTTACTGGTTTCCACTTATTATTTATTTATTCATCATTCTCTATTTCAGTGCTGCTCATACTATGTCATATTGTATATACTGTATACTAATACACCTACCTCAGGTCATAAGGTCATAGGTCTTATTTATTTTTTCCAGCATCCTTTGCACTATGCTCCATCACACTGTGTACACGTGTACATGTATGTGTACCTGTATATCACATCCACCTTCAACATGTACATAATGAGAATAATAGTTTACTCTTGCATCCTTTGCACTCTGATTACTGCACTATTTGTCAATATGTCTATATTGTTTTGTTCATAGTGTGTATATTAGCGTTGTCTACTCTGTAGTTTGTGTCTGATTTTAATAAGTAAGCACATCGTGAGCAATGTACAATCCTGAGTCAAATTCCTCGTATGTATACACATACCTGGCAATAAAACTGATTCTGATTCTGATTCTATAAAAAAACAGATGATGTTTTGATCACACATGACTACTTGTCCTTCCCAAATTTCTGTTGATAAATGCATCTATGAACAACAGCGGAACACATTTTATAGTTTTGAACAGCTTATTTTATATGTGATTTTGCATAGATTTACCATGATAAATATATTAATACCAGAAAATATCGTAATTAATGCTGTGAAAATGATTTAACATCCATAATAAGTGATGCAATTATGATTTTTCTTTTAGTAGTGAGCATATTTATCCCCTGTATAAGACTTTTATCTGTGCACACCCATAATTCAGTTAATATAAAATGGTAATGGTCCAAAATAGTGTATTATTATTATTATTACATGCTGTTCTTGCTCCCACTGTTTGTTAGTGAGAAATTAATGTTATGAGACATTAAAACATTTATTTCTCCCTCAAACATAGAGTAGGAGATATTCTGGCCTGCTCACTGACCATAATTTGGATATTTATATTTTAGTAAATAACAAAAACATTATTAATCATTATAAAGCTATATAATTTATATGTTTGTAAAGTAATCAAATGTAATAAGTTACTTTGATAAAGTAATTAAAATAGCTACTATTACTTTACATTACATTCTAACAGGGTAACTAGCAATCTGTACCTACTAGATTATAAAAGCACCTTCCCAACACTGATTACAACTCACACACTTCAAACAGATGTGGTGAACTATGAACATTCTACCATCGCCTTTATATAAAAACTAAACTGCAACAAACAATGATGATTCAAGCTTTATCACAGAAGGATTTCCTTGTTCACATCACAGCTGAATACAGCAGAAACGGCTCAGCACAAGGCGGTAGAATCTGAATATGAAAAAGATGTGAAGAAAGCAAAAGTGAAGGTATTACAAATGTAGTCCATCAGAAGCACTGGCCTAGAGCAAGACCACAGTATGATCCTTCCTCAACCAACAACAAAGGCACCATGCTAAACCCACCGAGGCTTTGACTGAAAATAGACGTGGGAAGGCAGTTTGACAGTTTCAGGCTGCAGCTCTGATGCTAATAAGCTGTGTTTTGCAGAGTGAAGAGCTTTGCTGAGGACAGAAAGTATGCCTGTCTGTGTACATGATAATGAAATGCAGTCACACATGCATTAAGCTAATCATCACTTTCAGTGTGATAACTGTTTGATGTTATGATTTAATTCAGATATGATCTAAGATACATCGTGGGTCGACTTTTCACCAATCTCTAATCTTCTAATTCTAAGTGCATGCGTAGTTGTATGTTTGAGTGTGTCTGACTGAGCTGAAGTGGTAATGTGGTGGCTCATGCGATATGGCTGCCCTCCCCCACACAGCTGTGTGTGTGTTTGTTCCAGTGTTGGTTCATGGTATTTGCATGATTCACTCGGTGAATCAGTCTCACACTGGCCTGTGTCGTTTCATTAGTCTCAAAAAGACACACACTTAAAACCTGCAGGTCCTGCAGGTCCTGCACGTCCGCAGGCACAAATGCAGTCCCAAGAACATGGGGCTTTGGTGTACTGACAGCCAAAAGTGACATTATTCGACTCTGTTTTCACACGAAAAACCAGCTATTTCCAGCGCTCCCACCAAGCAACTTTTTACATCGTAAAAATGTCAGTGGTAAGAAGGTTATATTCTCAGGCAAATCAATATTTAATCACTTTAATACTGAAAACTACAACTTGTAATTGTCTTGCAATGAATAGAGACAATGTGCTAGCAGACTTCATTGATGCAGTGCTTTGGTCTGGCATTCCTCTTCGCTAATTTGATCTTTTTACTTACTGGCTATGCAAAACAGAAGGAATTGCTCATTGCTAGGGGTGTGAATCTTTCAGTATCTAACGATTCCATTCAAAAATCAATTCTTGATTCAAAATGATTACCATCAAATCTCGATTCAGTACACAGGGGTGCTAATTCCTGGATATATTTTTTTTCACAAAAGAAAAATAATATTTGTGTACCAGAGTGAATTTCATCAGAACTTGAAACAAAACAAGCCAAACCATTAAATGTTCAGGGGCATTTCAGGGTTACACCTGTCCAGCCACACGTGCAACATTAGCTTGTTGCATCATTTGGTCTGGAGGTAGGCAGAGCGGTCATCTAGTAACCGGAAGGTTCCCGGTTCGATCTCCTGCTCTTCCACAGAAAGTGTTGAAGTGTCCTTGAGCAAGACACAGTGAACCCCTAACTGCTCCTGAAGAGCAGGTTGGCACCTTGCATGACAACCTCTACCATCAGTGTATAAATTTGTGTGTGTGTGTAAATGTTGGCATGTGTTTTAAAGCACTAAAGAAATTTTTTCTTTGACATTATGCTAAAAAAGAACGAGTTAATCCAAAGTGTTATCCGACCACCTATGGTCCAAAGTTGTTTCACCGACAGAGGTTTAGCCGCTAGCTATGATATTGATGTGAACACTTCTGTACTTTTACTTAAGATTTTGAATTGTATTTTTAAGTATTTCTAAGAGTTTTTTTCACGGTTTCTTGTTAGGTTGAACTTGGTGAAGCTGCTCTTCCTATTTTCAGCTCTGGTCATCAGCAGTGTATCTTGGTTAAACATACATGTTACCTGTGTGCAACGTTTTGAGTTGCTATAGCAACCTCCAACCTACACCATGTGGCTTTGTTGGACTATCTGCACTTCCATGAAGAATGCCAGAATAAACTAATATTTGAACTATTGCTTTCCACAATACATCAATCGTATACAAACATATATATATAGATAGAAAAAACACCCATACTAAATGAAGTTTCTTATAACATTAATAATATAGTAACAATAAGAATGTTTCTTTTCTGACTTTGATGTTCCTCAATTAGTCATGAATATTTAATGTTAAGGAGAAATACATAAGATTTGAAACCAAGTTTCAAAGTACACACACAGTTACCATACCTGCCAGGCTTATTGATGTACTTGTGCAGTCGAGCCTTGACTTCATCATAGGTAAGGAAGGCCATGTAGCCAGGGTGTGTCACTGCCAGGAAATTCCAGTTCCTCAGAATTGATCCCCATGGCTGAAAAAGACCACCCAATGTTGTTTAAACTTATTCATATTTCATGTTTTCAACATAAAGTCATGTTGAGTCAGTGCTTCTGCCACAAATAGTATGCTGACTTGGCTGAATCTGAATTCTTTGTCTGTTGTCAAATTCACAAACAGCAAACTGAATGAGATGCAGTGGCAGAGGTTTCTCATATCTGGCCAGCTCAACAAACGAGGAGTTTGGGAAGCAGCTCGTGCACTGCAGCCAATTGTGTTTCGCTCTGTTTACAACTAGTTTGAGGTTATCTGCAGGACAGAGTTGCATGCGTGCGAAACACTTGATGTGGAAGAGAAGAAGATAACATTACTGCTTAGGGATTGTGTTTATTTAATGGCTCAGCAGAAAAGACTTAGACGCTATAAAAATAGCATCATGTGGCTTTGTTGGATGTAGACTATATGGACCCTCATGATCAAAAGTTATAAAAAGCCAAGATTCTCCTGAGAGGATCACTATATCATCACCATGATTTGTTACCAAGTTTTTCTCCTTTGTCATTCTCACCTTCATGTGGACTCTCTGATCCCTCTCCTCCCTTCCACCAGGATTCCCAACCAGTAAATCAACCAGGCCAGGGCACATCCTCAACTGACACACAGGTTACACCAGCCTGGAAGTGGCTACCCAGGATGCAGTCAGTCAATGGCAACTCCTACCCATGACTATATTTGCTTTAGTAGACCATTTTGCACTAGCACCTGATCACCCATCATTTGCTTGATAAAAAACCCACAGATATTGTGACACTGATCACAACATCTACAAAGTTACTTATTAGGTTGAATCCTATAGTCCAAGTGCCCTTAAGATCAGATCTCTGTGCACCTCTCAGCAAGAAAAGCTTGACAAATCCCATTGTGACTAAAAGTACGGTCTGAGTTCAGCTCTCATTTCAAGCACAAACAGGCACCCCTACTTTAGTCAACATCCTGCTTAAGCCTGCTCTTCTAGATTCTGCTTTCACACTATGGTTCAGGAAGAGTTAAGATGTATAAGGGCACTTATTCGAGACAAACAGATTCATATTTTCTGGGGAAAAAAACAGCAACACATTCAATGGGCAAAAGCCTCTGACACTAATGCAAATGGCAAAACCTGTTATACCTAAATACAGTATGTGTCTAAATCATTTGATTCACAGGTTTGACCAACCTGGAAGAGGCGTGTGAAAATATCAAACTCAAACACAGAAATGTAGTCGTTGCAGGTGAGGTCGATTGTGGATTTGAGGGCCATGGCCTCCAGGCCCGAGCTGATGTGATGCACTTCGTGAAGGCACTGTCGGAAGACTTTCCATGGCACTATTGTCCTGCAAGTCCAATCATAAAAGCATAGATACAGCAACTTGAGAGACAAAATTGTATTTAATTAAACAATGCATCTTTATTGATACAAATGTACATTTGACCAATGTAGTGCAAAAAATTCTGTATACAACATCAAAACTGCAAATTCACAGCTGATGTATGAAGATTGATAGATAAGGTTAAACTTTTGTTCTGCTCGTATAGCTGTTCCAGGTTTCGATTAGATCAAACAATAGAAAGAAAAGAAAAACAGTTGCTATTTCTATTTATAAAGTATATTAAAGAAATGGTGAAGTCTGGTAGTACAAACTCAGGAAGAGAATCTCACCAACGACTGACGTGACATTTGAATATAATAAGGCCATGGGAAACAAAGGTGTCTGCTGGTGATGCAATTTAAATGCCAAATGTCAAATTATCAAATGTATTTGTGGACTGTGATCAACAGCCTCAGTGGCTTTTACACTCTGCTGATGTGGTCAAACACAATAAGTTTATCTCATACTAGCTAGCTTCCTGACATAGTTCAAACTTTAAAAACAGTACAAAACTAAAATGCACTGTTACACACAATTCATTAAATTAGAGCACCTACAGAGAGATTAGTATACTGTAGCACTAAACAAACAACAAGTTTTTGTACATAATGAAGGATGAGATGATCAGAGGTCTAAGACTTTTTTACCTACCAACTGCTAAACCTAAAGCCCAACACAGCATGTCATTGTTGTTTTCATTTTATGATGTATCTCAAGAGGCTGCACCACATCAAGGTGGAGATAAGCACAAAGGAGACAAGAAAACTCTTGCACCAAATACTTCTGAGAACCGTAATTCATCACAATTGAAAAATGTTTAATTACAAGTGAGTAAAACATTTTTGAATGTATGAAATAATACAGGAACTGTACATTTTGTTGAACTCTCTGATGTGAGATTCATAGCTCTGTTTATTGTACTGACATGATGGCAATTGTGGCTCTGCAGCAAAAACAGAAATGTGTATTTGCAATGAAGGTAAAACCCTATAAATCCACAAGGCCTACCAATATGAGAAGTGGCCACTCCATCATGAGGACATTTCCAAAGGCTCAAGAGGAATGTCTCAAGTGAACACTTCCTTCTCGCCAGTTCCAGTGTTGTGCCTGTGAGGGCCAAGGGCCAAGCTTTTTTTAATTTTACCTCTTAGCCTCAAGCACTCAAGTGTGGAGTGTCTTAGCTAAAAGCCCTTCTGCTATTCTTATGATGTTCTTCCCAATTTTTAAACTTAATATTATTATAATGTTATTGTTGCATTGTTGCTGCAACCACAAGGAGTGAGAGTACAGCCCACTCAGAGCTGAGCAGATTCACTTTTGATAGTATTCAAGGCTGTAAAATAAAAGAAGCAACCCAGTGCTGACATCCCTCTATGGCTCAACGAATTGCCAACCACAACTTTAATATTCACTTGTCTCTATGCATTAGCTGGGACAACTGTGATTGAATGATTCAGTATATTTATGACCAGGGAAACTCTTTTCAAGGCTCGGTTCTTGCAGAGTAAAGGTCTTTTTAGTATAAAATGTTTCTCTGGACAGTGTTTCCCAGTTTGGCTGCAGTTTGGGGGATATTAACATTAATGTTAGAAGATATCCACTTGATTTGTCTAACTTGAGTGGCTGGAACAGGAGGAATGATTGCACCAAGCAAAACCTGTTTCAGTGTTCATATGAACACCTAACTATTTCTTTAGGACAGATTTGAAAAATTGTGAACTTTCTGACATTTTACAGACCAAACTACTAATCAACGAAATAAATTGCAGCCCTTAAGATTTTCCATTAATAAAAAACTTATATTGACAATGTGGCAGTTGTAAAGTAAATCCTTGTCTCTGATTGATTATTCCTGCTCTGAGCATATATGTGATTAATCATGTGATCACTTGAGATTTTCTCTTAACATAGGGCTGCACATAACAATTATTTTTCAAATCGATTAATCTATTGATTATTATTTCAATTAGTCGATTAATCTATTTCTGTGTTTTCTAATTTCATTAATAAATCAATATTTTATTCAATCATCCTGATGAAGTACATTAGAATAAAATGATAATAGTAGCAGATCCTAAAATGAATCCAATTTCCACATCACTGATGTGTTTTAATAACAATAACAGACATTAATTAGGCTACTTTACTTACAACTTTAAATGACTTAAAACTACTTTCTGACATGGATTTATTGAGTAATATGCAGTACAATGATCACAGGCAAATGTATTTCTGCATCAGTGTGGGGCAAAGAAAACAAGTGAAACAATTCACAGAATGTACAGTCACAGATTGTCTGTAATTTTAGTTTCAGCTGTTTTCTCGCTCATTAAATAAACACAAAATATGAAACGGCCGACTGTTAGATGACACACGGTGTAACGTTACGTTATCATGATGGAACGGGGCAGAAATTACTTTTAACATGAAGGAGTAGAAGAAATATTTAAAAAATCAATTTATAAACACTAACATTTTTTGTTAATTCAATGAAATATGGCATTTCCAACTGGAACTTTATCTGAATTACAAAGGTGGGATAAGTGAGAACTTAGAAGGTAGAAATCCAACACCATGACAAATACCATGATAGAGTGAACAACGATACAGCAAGTAATGTAACTAGTGTTAGCTAGGTTGTGGATTAACAAACTGATGCTACATCTCTCCTTCATGTCATTATTTGGAGAAACAGCATGCGGACATTTGAATGATTTAGAAAGTGATAGTATGCTGCAGATTAAAAGACAGGAAAAGAGCAGCAGCAGCTTCACCACATCACCCAATGAAATCTTGACCTTGATGCAAAAGACAGCAAGACATACTTACTTTTCTCCAAAAAATTTCCTCCAGAAGTCAGCAGCATCAGCTTTGGTGATCCTGAAAGTGTCCCCTTGGAAGTGTCCTCCAGGGAAGATGGCTTTGATTTCAGCCAGCATGTGGCTGAAGATCAGAGACAACTTGGTCAGGTTCCTCCTGCAGAGAAGACGCCAGAAAAGAGAGGAAACAGTTGGTGCACCATAGTAGCCTCACATGTATGACAGACACTGTTCAATAAAACTCTTTTTATCGTTGACAACATATGGGGAAAAATATTTTATTAATACATTTGTTTTCAAACTCTGTTACCAGCTGGACATTGAAAGCCTCAAGTTTCTTGTCAGGCCTGTTAAAATGTTGAAATGCACTGAAACCACTGCTGAGCTGGGGTAAGTAGCCTATTCGTATTACTGATTACTGTATTTGTAAACAGCACAACTGTTTTAGGCTATAGCTTAAATATAATAGAATAGTAATTTAATTTGTACAGTAATTTGAAAAGCATTTGAAACAGCTGCAATGTATTTTTATTTATTCTGTAGTCAGTCAAAAAATTCAGTGGCTTTATATTCATGTTATAAATAGTGCTGGGCAACGATTAAAATCTTTAAGCGCGATTAATCGCATGATTTTCTGCAATTGATAGCATAGTTAAGTGTAAAGTTGAATAACGAGTTCTAAAATAGTGTATTGAGCACTTTTAATTTAAATGTACTGCTATATACAAGTGCAATAACATGTGGTTTGCAAACACTTTAAACAAATGAGGTGATTTTTCTCAGCAGTATTCCATTTACACAGTAGCAATAAAATATTTCTTGTAAATCTCAACTTAAACATTAAAGTAATTAAATCAAATATTAAACCAAAGTAATTTGCCACAGCCAAGGCATTACCTTTTATCTAGCTTGTTAAAATAAGTTACTATCAGAGTCAGATCATAACATCATAACAGGCACCTTCTGAGCAACAGGTTAACATATATAAATCTGTTTTCTTGTTTTTTTTTCTGAACAGGTATCAGCAGAAACATTTTTCTTTTATCAGGAAGCAGCAGAAACAGTTTAGGTTCAGTAGCAAGCGTCCCTGTTAGAGTGAGGTGAAGTGGTCGCCTCAACGTGTGCGCCTGTTCTGTTCACCTGAGCAAAGAGCAGCACCGCGGGGCCAAAGCGTTGTGATTTTAAGAACATTCCTAAGACCAACATCTTCCCCGATACTAATCAAGACAAGGCAAGTTTATTTGTATAGCACATTTCAACAACAAGGTAATTCAAAGTGCTTTACGTAAAACCAACATAAGGAAATATAAAAAAGTTTGAAAGCAACATAGGGAAATTTTAAAAAATACACATTAAAAAATACTAAAAGTTACAGTGCAGTGTAGAATCAGGGTTAAAAGAGTTAAATGGAAAATAAAAACAGGCTGAGGGATTGAGCAAATAAATATAATATATAATAATAAAGTTACAATTATTCTGAAAAGAGAATAAACAGAGAAGTACACTTAATCTACTCTCTCTAGCTAGTCTGTACTCGGGTCCATAGCAATCTTTGGGTCCACTGAAACTCCAAAAACCCTCGGACACTACAGAGAAACCAGGACATGTCTGTCCACAGCCCACTTTGATCCAGTTATACTCTGGACCCACCTGTGTGTTTACAGGTGGACAGAGGTTCCTGCAAATCAATCAGGCGTGAGATTTAAGACCACTTCCTATACTCTGTTCAATCTCACTCTCATTATCTTTTCACTCAATTACCTACTCATTTCTCACCATGTAAATATTTCATTAAAAGCAATGCTAAAAAGCTAAAAACAAAGAAAAAGAAAACAGGACAGTAAAAGTTACAGTGCAGTGTAAGTTAGTGTAGTAAATCTTAAATATTTAATTAAAAGCAGTGGTAAAAAGAAAAGTCTTCAGTCTTAATTTGGGGGCGGCTGTGGCTCAGGAGGTAGAGCGGGTTGGCCGTTAATCGGCGGTTCAATCCCTGGCTCCCCCTGGTTGCGTGTCGAAGTGTCCTTGGGCAAGATACTGAACCCCGATTTGCCCCTGGCGGCTGTTCCGCCAGTGTGTGAATGAGTGTGACTGTTAATTTCCGTTTGAGCACTTAGGCTCAGTGTATGAATGTGTGTGACTGGTGAATGCAGATGTAGTGTAAAAGTGCTTTGAGTGGTCGAAAAGACTAGAAAGGCGCTATACAAGTACGGAGCATTTACATTTAATTTAAAAGAACTGACAGTTCTATGTATTGTAGATCATTTACAACCACAAAACGAAAAAAGGAATTAAAAAAGTAAATTGTAGTGTATCTGTGCTATCTCAAACATCAATCAGACACACATCTGTGAGCCAGAAGGAAATTTGAAATGAGGGATGTGTTGCGACCTTCCGTTTAATCTGAGGAGTTGAGACTGTATGATGAGGGTTAAGATGGTGGTGTGACGGTGGGGAAGTCATCTAGTAGACATGCTGCAGAAAACAGCAGGGCTTTTTTAATCTGGAGCTGAAGGGCGAGCCAGAGAAGCGATTAAGGAGCATGCCGTATCTTAATGCGCAGAATTCAAAGAAGAGTGAGCTGGGGGGAAAAACACAGCAATACAGCATGTGGGTTGTGGGTGCTATATGAGATTATATAATCTATTAACAAGTCTATTGAAAGCATTCTTACTTTGCAGCATTGTTTCACACCTGCCAAAAACTCTTGCACAGTACATAATTTTTTTAATATAGTATAGACATTATGAATGTAGCATTTCTTTCATCCAAATATTCTTTCTTATTATCTAAAATATTGTAATGTATATTGTTTCGTTTCTTAATGAAAATTTATGATTGATTTTCTTTCTTTCATTAAAATAGTTAATGTTTTATTACCTCCTGGTCGGTTTCTTTGCTGCTGTAATGTGTGACTTTCCCACTGGGGAGTCTTATATTAGCTTACCTGTTTATTTTCAAGTAAAGGTAACTGTACATTCAAGTATTAGCGATACTTTAATGTAAAAACAGTTCCGTTTCTGAAAAAGGAAAAAACTGTTTTAGTTTTATGTATGTGTGAATGTGTGTTTAAACTTGAAAAGTAAGGTATGGCTCTCTTTTCCATTGATTTATTGAGATGCACAAAACAATATTTAAAATAATTAGGCATACTATGTTTTCCCCTGTGGTTCTCATTATTGTACTGAAATGTTTTTTTTCCAATGTGCCATATTTGTAAAACTGCACCAGTTCTCATCACTCATTCTTAAAATGGGTTCTATTTAATCTACAGATAATTTTAACATTGACTGCTACATTTACATTTTTGGACTAGGAGTATCTGTAATGGAAATCCAGCTATTAAGTAACATTAAACTGGCAGTAGTGGAGCCTTTATCAAATATTTCACTTTGTAATTTGGGATTTACAAATATTAATATGCATGTAATTGCAATAACAAAACAGAGTTGAGCACTTCCACAGACAGAGAAAAAGTGAGTTGTGAGATTAGGGCTGAAATGGCTGAGATATGAACAGCAGAGTTTAAGCTTGCAGACCAGCAGCCATATAAATTAGCCATATTCCTAAATCCTGAAGCAAGCAAGAAAGGACACTCTTAGGAGGGCTATTTTTGAGCTTTTTCTTTGTGTTGTGTGTAACACTCGAGGGTAACACACAGGCACAAACACTACACATGAGCCCAAGGTGTGAGGGTGTGGGATAAAGACAGTACACTGCCTGCAGGGTGCTGATAACAAGCGTTGCGTGTGTGTGTGTGTGTGTGTGTGCGTGCGTGTGTTTGTGTGTGTGTGTGTGTTTGTGTGTGTGTGTGTTTTAATTCTTCTTTCAAACCTGCACAAACAGCCTACGTTTTGTTTATCACACCTCTCATCTGTGTCACAGAACAAACATTCCACTGAATTCATCATTTTCTGTGTTTGGGATGGCGGGGGTGTGTGTTGTTTAATTTTTCCAATATCAATTCCAATCTAACATGAGCTTCCCCTCAGTGACAAACTATGAATCAAAAAACGTTTACTTTTATTGACAAAAGAAACATATGATCAACACTTAATATTTTACAATTGCTTTGGCAGAGCTTCTTAACATAAAATGTTATCCTCTTAATCTTGGCCTCAAAGTCTCAAAGTGCACAAAATATATCATACCATGTTCATCATAATATTAACACATTGTATGTATTTATCACTGAATTTTAATCATTGTTGGATTTAAAATAAAATAATTATTATTAAGTAATGCATTCAAACAGTAACTAATGTTCTACCAATAACAGCACTTCAAAAAACAACAAACAAACATTGCATTTATTGAATATGCTGTAATTCTCTAAATATAAATATCTGACTTACTGTAATAAAAAACAACTCAGGCACTGTCTAGTGATACACATTAATACCAACATTTCTCTCCTCTAGATGCAGCCCATCATCACTGCTTAATCAAGCTGATACTGTAATTGATTATGTTTTTCAGATAAAAACACACTTATTGAATACTGTATGACAAGCACCATTGTAAACATCTAATGAAGCTCTACTGATCACAGTCACATCACTACCTACTGTTGGTCAACAGCCACTCCACGTAAACAGAGTAGGAGTGTGATATATGTAATGTTTATACATACAGAAGGTTAGTGTAATGAGTGCAATGAGTGAACACACACATAGTTAGTCTGGTAGGCAATTTAACAAAAAGGCTGAATTCATGGGAAATGAGAAGGAAATTTTGTTTAGGAGCTTTAGGAGTAAAAAACGTGACTATTCTCTGACATTACAGTCACAAATTTATGAGAGAAACTTCACTTTGCAAGGCTGCAACATCACACACAGGTCTGCCATGTATTATGCATGCACTGGAAAGTTATCTTAAACTTTGCAATCGGATTTAGCAGTGAGGAAATACTGCTGAGTTTAGCCCACAATCACTACCATGCACCTTAGAGACTTTGCCTTGGATTGGGCGTGATTTTAGATTTTTTATGACATTAATTTCAAGGAATTTCTGATTTTTCTTCTTGTAAATTTCACACTTTCATCTAGGAGGGGGTTTTTTTCTCCGTTATTAACCCCATCCCTGGCTTCATAGTACAGGCCACTGAACTTCTTTCTAGAAGCTGTTTTAATTATTTATTATTTAATCTGTCTGGATCTT